AAAGTGCAAAAGCATGCGGCCGGAGCACCCAGTTTGGTGGAGACAAGTGGGACAAGTGTAACATCACATGGCCAGAGCAGCCGAGTGTACTGTCGAAATGCACTTCAAGGATTTAGCCGCGCATGTCGGCGCAACACCTCGATTAGACACCCGTGCTTAACCCTTACTGTAAGAACCCCTATAGCGCGTCCACACTTTTTGGGTAATTACCAAAAGTCTGTCAGCAAACCATGGTGCTCATCAGCATCGGACTGCAATATGGAAACTAAGCCTTGACCTGAACATCCTTGTCTCCATCTATGCTATACAGGGCAACATGATTATTCCTTGCGCGAGCCATCTCCCAGCCTCCTACCTACCAGCTTCCTTGCAAAAATGCATAGCAAACCCAACCCCTACCAATCCTCATACGAATATTCAGTTTGTCCTGCGAGATGGTGGAGTATCTGCAGCGCAGACTGGCCGTTTGGATCGAAGGCTTATGGTTTCAGAACAGCCGCGCTCGCAGCATGAGCCAGCTGAAGCCGCGCCATATGCCCTACCTTCTGGCTTGCCTTCCTCAATCTCTGGCCCCAGGCCACTTCGCACTCCACCATAGTCCCCTAACAGGCAAAAGCTGTCACCAAGACAAAACATTTGGACCGTGCAAAGACACACCTTCAAAAAAAAACATCTGTGATGGTGGGCGTGTTGGATGACAAGGGACATCTCTTTAGTTTCAATGCCCGCCGCTTTTTTTGCATTTCAAGTTTCTTCAGGTTGAAGATTTGGCTTTTTGCATTTTAAGCTTTTGACGTTTAAAAGCCCTGCCCCTTTTTGTGTTGGAAGGTATTTAGATTGAAAGTCTCATTGCCCGTTTGAGCGGTTTTAAGTATATTCCACTCGGGCGTCGCCAGTCTGGGTAACAGCGATGCTTTTTTAAAATCAACTCGTGGCAACCGCGCGCAAGGCTTAGTTGCAGTTGTCACCTTCGTCATCTGAGCTAGCTTTGATGACGCAGCCCTCGCATAAATCTCCTCACGCCTGGCCCCGTTGTCCTGCAAGAGTTCCCCGATTATGCCACTTCGTGCTCAACCCACACCATCCACGTTTTAATGCCTGAAACGAACTTGAAACCATCCTCGACCGCCTGCCGCTTCCTCCCCAGAACACTTGGTAGCCGCAACCAATTGAAAAGGAGACTCGCCTCTGAGCTAATCAAACAGGTCGACTTTTAAAAGCACGGTCTTGTAAAACATTATAAAACACTGGGTAAACATGAGCGCCTAGACATAAACCTAGGCACTTTCTTCACACCACATCTTCAGAATAGACGTTACCCACCCACTCGCAAAAAGCATCGGCCATAACTTCCCGGCGAAGCAAATGAAATTCAGAGACCGACCACAGCTGACGTTCTCCGGCGAACGTGACCAGGAAGCATTCAGCAACATACCGAACCGCGTGCGCGCAACGTAGTCGAACAAGGAGGCGCGCAGCACGCATCAAGACACGGTCCGCACACGACGACGCTTCTTCAAACTTACCCTTCCTGGCCTTCTTCTTTTGCTGAGCGTTGCCATCCAGCTCTCCTCGCTCCAACTCTTCCTCCGCGGCGCCCGAAGGTTCCACAGTGCGAACGCAACGCGGAACAATACAAGCTATGCGTCCCCGTCCTGGTGAGGTCGCTTCTGCTCACCGCTCATCTTTTGCCAGGCAATAGAGGCTGCCTTCTTTACCGACGTACTATCCTGGGAAAAAGACCGGAGTCCCGATCGCCGTGTGGACGTCATGATCCTGTGCCCGGTGTCGACTCGGTGTCGACCTAAATGAAATGCATCCCTTTTCAATCTCAGAGCTTGTTCGCTTGAAAAGCGCTTGTTACATGATCACATACCGGTATCGACATCGAAAGGCCCGGCGCTACTCTAGTCAGCAGCGCAAAGGATTTGCCAAGCCTCGCGGGCCCCCTCTTGAAGTTTAAGCTTGTTTTTGCTGCATGCAAAGCGACAAAGGACAGCTACTAGTCTACTAGTCCCTCATACTCAGCTGCTCCCCCCTTAGCATTGTATAGGCATTTGCCTAGGTGTGAAGTGTCATTGGGAACTAAATGCGCACAAACAAACGGGTGCGGCCCAAGCACACGCGCACGCATACTTCACTTGCAACATCATCACTTACCATACTTGAGATATCTTGAGATGATGCGCCATCTACTGTATCCCGCTTTTTCCAAGCAGCATAAAAGTATCCGTCGAACTCGCGCATGTTGAGCCCTATCATCCGAGCCGCAATAGGCCCCTGAGCCACTGGCTGTCTTTGATGTCTTAGCCAACGGGCGCTGCAAAGTATTTACTTGCAATTACCACTTCCATCTGTTTCCAGCTGCCTTCGTTGACAAGCTTGTAGGTTCTGGTTGGCGCGCTAGTTATCCCACAAAATTGCATAAAATGAGCGCGCTGCTGGATACCTCCAAATTGAAACTTGAACCCACTCATAACCATGGATAATGTCAAACGTTCTGGGCACGCCAGTGACTATCTCTTCGTGACAGAACGGAAAGAATTTCACCGCAGGTCTGGAACCCACAGCATTTTAGAATTCAATCGCCACCAACACGAAAAACTCTTAAAGCCCTCTCGACCCGCACCGCAAGTCCCAATTTTCACGCCAGCCCTAACACCTACAAGTCAAGCCATCCCTCCCATTGAGTCAAGTGCAATCTAAACTCTCTGTTGGCAATGCTCTAGAAAACCATCTTTCATGGCCAAGCCTCCTCAGCGTCAGCCATGACCGCTCACTCCGCTTGCTTGCCACGCCCCAGATACACAAGACATGAAACGCCCAATAGAAGCCTAGAACAAACTACGACTGACACCGCTTCAAAAACTCACGCAGAACAACGTTGAAATCAAGACTGCGCAGAAGCCAGCATAGATTGACAATGTAAGCACAGACGACATTAAATACACACCTGACCACCTTGCAGGCAAGTCTCGGCTTTTCGTCAATCTTGTTCTTGAATTTTGCAGCCGCACCCAAGCTCATGAGTGCAATTGTCTGCTCAGCATGTGATTTTGTCAGGGAGCTGCTCCCGAACTATATCTCACTTATGCTGATCATCCTTGCCATTATCCAGACCGGTAGTTGCCCAGCTCTTCAAATCACCCTAGACTGTAAAAAGCAAAGCATTACACCATGTTCGCTATGTTATGTAACAGACTTCACTTCGATTCCCGATTCCTGAGGTTCATGAAACAAAACGGCAGCAGCTTCAATTCAGCTTTACACAGTCCAACTTTTCAGCCACGCATCTTGAACATACTTCAATGTCCACATGAATAGGCGCACACGGTAAACAAGTGTAACAAGATGTAATAAGTGTAACAGAGCAGACCGAGACAAGTGGAAGACAAGTGTAGAATCACCCAGGGTGGGGAGACAAGTGAAAGACAAGTGTAAAATCATGTGGCCCAGAGCACCCAGAGTGTACTGGGAGGAGACAAGTGGAACTGCAAAGCAACCACAGTGCGGCAGGAACGCACGCCCGGAGACAATTGTAAAATCATACGGTCCGGGCATGCAACCCTTTCAAAGGAGTAAGAACCCCTCACAGGTAAACCTGATTGGGGAAAAACTGGGTCATTTGCCATGTGGCCGCGGAAAAGGATATAGCCGTGAAAACGTGTATATGGCCGTGGAAATCGGATATGGCCCTGAAAAGTTCAGCGTGATGTCTTTCTTTGTTGCAAAGTCCGCACCATTGGGGAATGCAATTTCCGTTTGGCTAGCTCCCAATATACTGAAAGCACATGCGTACAAAGCTCAACCAACTTCCTTCCGCTGCTGGCTGTGCCGGTTACTGTTGGGCCGGCTGGTGCTTTTTTTGTTGCTCCTGCTTTTTCTCTTGCTTCTTCTCGCTGTCCTTCTCTCCTCTCTCAAGACCGCCGCTGCCCTCGAACGGACACGGCACACCGTACAGATACATACCCCATGCAACAAGATGGGGACCAGCTGCAGGCTCTAGCCTAGCGAGGAGTCATGGAGGACATGGCGCTCAATCAGTCGAGAGTAGACACAGCTAAAGACTTGTAGCCTTGCGCCTTGCGACACACGAGCCCTGCAATTTCAGATGTGATTGAAGCGCCCCAGCAACCGGATATGTGTGCTAGGTTCGTGAACACCATGATCAAAGATCTGGGCGTGGCCAAGTGATCACGCAGCCACATGAGTGTGTAGAGTAGAGCAAGCTGGAAAGGCAGGCTGTAGTAGAACGACCACAAAGCACGCACGCTAATGGAAAATTGCGTTTCAAGCTGCGCATCCAGTAAATCTCAAGGCCTAGAGCCGATAGGCCGTGTGAAGGCAACGTTCAATCACGACTGTTCTCAAACTCATCAAAGACAGGGACTGGGAAGAGTAAGAGATTTGCATTTCTCTCTGAGAAGCCTCTAAAGCTCATTCTTCTCCAATCACAAAACCGCCAGCCCCAGGAACCGCTGTAAGTCACAAACCGCCGCGAACCGCGAACCAAACCGACACATGCACACGCCACACAAAACCGAACCGAACCGCCGGGTCCCCAAACCGACAACCGAACCGAAACGGTTGAATCATGTTGAATCTATAGAGTCTAGCTACACTCAGTCACGAAAGGTTTCCATTGCCAGTGTGTCTGCCAAAGTGAAAGAGTTGTCATTGAGACGCTGCGTTCTCTAATGCTCGGGAAAGTGTGGATATCTAAAACGCAGTTGATTTGATGCAGGATTGGGGATGGCCTTGAAAGTGCCAAATAGTGCAATGCACAGATTGCCAGTCTGGTGCTTTACTATGTCTTTGCAGTCGAGGCAATCTCCATTCTGTCACTTCGTGGGTCCACAATTCAAAGTATCGAGGGTAGATGATGGACCGTCTGCACCTCGTCTTAAATAAGTGGAAAAGTATGGAAAAGTCTTGTGGGGACCCAATTGTCACAGGTGCCTCATGTGGGGCGACCCAACTGAATCGCCTCCGGAACGCTCCTGGTTGCAGCTTCTTCTTCCGGGAGTTGTGCCACCTGGCTAAATCAAGAGATTTACAAAATACTAGAAAATAAACTGACATCATTCAGTATCCTTTTCTTGAGCCACCGTCACCAAAACTGGATCAATGCATGAGCTCTTTTCCACCACGCCTTGGCATAACGAAGCATCTCTAAGCCTGCTGAGAGCTTCGCCCGGTCACGTGCCTGGATGCGTCCGACTTTTGACAGTTAGAGTTGTCCACATTAAGAGGAGCTGTGAACTCTGCGAACTTTCCAAAAATCTCAAACGAGAAGGTGAACGTGGTCTTTGGTCATACCATTGTGATCATGTTGTGTCGTGGTCATGATCGGAACTGTCTTCATTTCATCGAGCCTCGAGTGCTGCACGGAGCTCTGACTGCAGGACTTGTACCAACTTCACGATGGCTTGCATAATTGCCGGATGCACCTGTCATCACTGCTTGAGAACACCAACGGATGCTGTTCTTCTCCATCACTTCCCGTAAGCTCTCCATTCCAAAAAAGTGTCTTCTCACTCAGCTGCTTCTCACCTCTCTTTGATCTTTCATTGGCGGTGCCTGCAAGCATCTGCGTCCAATAATGCAGATCATTTGTGTCACACCTACCGAACTCTTTGTGCTGCAGCTCTGTAAGGGTTCTCACAGCTGCAACAAGTGGGCTGGGTACAGTACCAAGCAAGCCAACATAACTCGAGCTTTCTTTTTTGGAGTCTTGAATATCTGCAAACGATGAGTTATTAATCAATTATACACTTGGAGCAAAAGCTCCTTGCGCTCAAATCAGCGCAGCTCAGGCTTGCAAGTTGTAGCTCGAACGAAACCACTCAGCTTGTCAAGCCATTCAGAACAATCTCCCACTGAAAACCGGCGGCAACGCCGGACATTGGATGTATATATATATATATATTTGCCATGACAGGATTGCTGCGTCCAGCATCATGTTTTCTGAGTTTTGGCGATCTGTGTGAGATCGAAGTATGAGACCCTCTGCCGCAGAAGAAGTCGTAGTTAGTAGGTTCTTATTTCAATTAAGCTGAAGCTACATCAATGCATCAACCAGACTATTCTGACTTCTTGATTGTCAGTCTTGATCTCACACAAAACTTGCTTCAGGCCGACTTCTGTGCTCTTCGTTGATGCTGGGGATACTCATAGCATCCAATAGCTCTAGCTTGCATGCAACTCTCACGTGCGGTTCGGCTTGTAAATACCTCGGCTGGCACATCCAAGTAGACCCACTGAAGCGACTCAAGGGCTAAAAGAGTACAAATGCCACATGAAAGTGTGTCCAAAGCGAGAAAGCTAAAAAGTAATTAGAGCGGAAAGTAGCCACAGACCCTCTCATTTTGGGGACTGAATCAGTGTGGGACATGAACACAGAACATCACTGGAGCTTTTTGAGGTACCATGGATGAGGAGCTTTGCAGAGCTTTGCCACAGTGCAAACGAGAGGCTTTTGGTCTGCAGTGTCGAAGCCCGGACCAAACGCTGAGATCTTCCTTGGGGAATCGCCTGAATCATCGCAGAAAGAATAAAAGCATAACCACCAACAGCTTAAAGGCTTAAAGAAGCAAAACTGTACGCGAGTCTGAATTTTGGGGAGTATTTTTGGGATTTGGTATCGATAACAATGTCATGGAAAAATAAAGGCAACATCACAATGGAAAAGGCAAAACCATGACCACCATGTGAGGAGAAACCAACAAGCACAAAGCCAACCGATATCATTTCAACCATGTTTGGCCTCACGATATTTTCGAATCAGCAGGATAAAGTCATCCACGCCTTGGCTTGCAAGCCGGTGTTCCCTTTGCAATCGGGACATCACAGAAGTGGTCCTAGATCTATTCTACCTTCACAAACACGAATCGGCGCATCGGCAGCGAAGCGAAGCCAATGTGACACGCAGTGAGGTGCGGAATGGTAAATGGTCAACGGTATGGCGCGAATGACTTAAATGTCATAGGCTCAATGAGACTCATTGTGATGGCAAATGATATCACGGCTCTATATTTGCATAGGAACAAGTGCCACGCTAGTAGTAACAAGTGCCTTACTAGTAGTAACAAGAAGCTATTAGGAACAAGTGCCACGCTAGTAGTCACCTTCTGTCGCGGACATGGAAGAGATCTAATCATTCATCTGTCGCCAGATCTGCTCACGGCACTGGCAGGTCCACCGATCTACGCTGAGATGCTTCTAGTAGCTTCTTGTTACTAGTAGTACGGCACTTGCTCCTAGTAGCGTGGCACTGGTTACTACTAGTAAGGCACTTGTTACTAGTAGCGATGCACTTGTTTCTAGTAGCTTATTGTTTCTCTGAGATGCTGGAGCATTGGCGAACCTGCGACTGGAGAAAGGGAAACTCCTGCAGCTGGCTTTCCAGGATTGGCTCCAAGCGATCTGCAGCTATACCTCGCTCAAAACCAAAGTTCAACAAACTGTATGATTTGTTTACATGCAAATTGTTGCTCTAGAACTAGAACCTATATGTATAATGATGACGAAGAACTTGCTCGTGGCATTCATGTATGTACTGGTCTCATGCTGTGAACACGCAAAACATCACAAAACTCTTGTACTATATACCACCTTGGTGTATCTATGTGCCAACTGCAAAACGACGGCCGTTCCTTCCAAGGTACGGCCAGTCTGCCCAAAGGTGTTGGCCATGCAAAACAACGTGCCACGATCAGCACACCTCAGGCTCCGCGCCTATTGTAGCCAAAACCAAAAACAGTGACACAAGTGACACCGGCAAAAGAAGTGACACAAAGGGTGTGCCTAATTCGACACTTCCGTTACACTGTGTCTCAGCACTCTTGCTTGAACCACAAATAGAGAGAGAGAGAGAGAAAATGGATCGAATAATGATCTATAGTCACATATAAAGATGTTTCAATATGTTTCACCACCCACACACTTTCATGAGCTTTCTTGGCGAATCGCAGCACATCTCAGTCATCCTGCCGTTCGTCAGGAGACTGTACTGAGAAAAGCAAATATTACCGCAAACACGCTGCTGAGGTAATGCACCTCAAATGATTTTGAGCCGTTGACATCGCAGTCTTTGCTCTGTCCATCTTCGCATGGATTTGTCAAGCTACAATTGATATAGCAGGCATAGTGCAAAAGTACTTCGATGGATTCCTTTCCCCTAGCTGTTGTCGAGCTTCCATTTGGAGTATATTCGAAGTTGCAACAAGACTTCTCCTTGATACACTGCGCATAGGACTTCATTGCCTCGCAAGTTGGTGATACCCAGGTCATCTCAGAATTACAGGCTTCAACTTCATCATCGGTACATGCTTGTCCGCAGCCTTGCAAGGTTCTGCCAAAGAAACCTGCCAGGAACAAGACCATGACGGTAGATACCTTCATGCCACAACCGAATCGGCTTCAAGACGCAACCCGAGCTACGTAAGTGGCAAGTCATGTTGTCAGCTCTGAAATGTCCACTTGAGCCAAAACATGTTGCAGTGAATGAGAAGTCACAATAATTAAGTCAACTGTCAACCTAGAATACATAAGCTACTAGAAACAAGTGCCCCGCTAGTAGTAACAAGTGCCTTACTAGTAGTAACAAGAAGCTATTAGAAACAAGTGCCACGCTGTCAACCTTGTTTCCTAGAGGCTCTGTGGAGTTACATATGGCTCCAATTTGGTTCAGATTCGACGGCCTTGACCAAAGCCAGGTAACGTCTTGGCAAGTGCCGTCAAAGTTTGAACGGCTGTCGTATCCATAAAGGAAATAGCAGAAGCCTGACAATGACATTTCAGCTCAAGGAAGACAATCACCGCAATAAAGCACGGCCAGCTTTCAGGTTCGAATTCCAGCAATATGTCAGATGGGGTGAGTCTGAGATACTCTGAGTGGATTGCCTTCACAGGTCAACTAAGTCCTTACGAGTCCTAAGAATACAGTACCCATTCAGGTCATTTGAGACATTTCATACACCCGTCTACAGTGAGGAACATGCATCTCAACATACCTACCCAGCCACAAAAAATCTGTCTGAAGCAAAACACGAGTTGAGTTGCCCGTGAATTCTCAATTGTGTCAGGACTCCGAAAGCACGATACCATTGACATCTTCCTTCTCTTGAATCTCCAATTCCTGTGCGAGAACAGTGTGCATTCCTGCCCCAACCTAAAACTCTCAAGTCTTGGCCTATTCAACAATTTCATGTAGGCACATCATCACGACGGGGACGCCTTATGTGCTTCCAACGTTTCCCCCCTGCCATCGCATACAATCCGACGGTTCCTTGCCACCAGAAACAAACATCCCGTGCGGCGAAACTGTGATTTATGGCTTTGCCCTCCTCCTCTTCTATCCACTCCTGTAGCCGTTCAACCTGGGCAAAAATTGTTCATGTTGTTACAACAAAAACATTTCACATGGAGACTCCAATATATGTGAATGATAATTGCTTCAATCAACTGTATGTATATTATTACATAAATATATGTATATATACACATGTCACGTGTCTCACGCAATACTGCCTAAACTATCCCGGTCTTCCACAAGTCATTGGCCAGGTAGCTGCCTAATATGGGACAGCAGCATGGATCAAGCCATTCCCAAACACGTGCAAGTTGCTGGTTTTCCATCGAGCAAGGCAATGGCAGCATAAAACCAGATCTTCAGGAGCCTCTGGGGCCCCAGCATTGGCGTAGAAGAGAGGACCTTCCAAACGAAGAACCAATATGCCAGGCTCTCGCAAGGCACCTGCGGACTTGTGGCCAGGACAAGCTGGTTGAAGAACACATTGCAATGCAGCTAGCTCACCACTGGGCAGATCGGCGGGCCATTCTACTGTGTCTTGTGAAGCATGTTGTTTTGACAAATCTGAAGGATCTTCAGCTCCCGACCAGCCTTCCCTTTCGACAGACATCCATTTCCGCGCCCTGGGACAAGACCCAAAAGGAACACAAAAAAGCTTAGAACAGCTGCAAGCAGCCTGGTGATAAAAATGGCAACAACTTTCCATCCTGTTCAAAAGCGTGGTCATATCAGGTTTCTGAAATTAATCCATGTTGTCCTTGCTGGCTTTCAAGCTTTGAGATTAGGTTCACAAAATCACGCTAGTCTCGTCTTGGCCCTGACAGAACGAATGGCAACGCTTTAAATGGTCCTTTGGATCTCGCTGCGGAAAGGCACCTCTTCGCGTCGATTTCATCCCCTTCACGGAATCCGAGTTGTACAATATCTGGATTCACCACCTGCCACGGTTTGCTACTTTGGTGTAGAGTAGCAGTAGAACCCTCAAACAGTTCACGACAGTTCGATTTGCGGCACCATGAAGCAAAGTATGAGCAACCACATGGTGCGACTGAGCAGCAAAACAGAGATGCAAATGTCGCCCTGAACGGTTGTAAGCAAAACCAATTCTCTTCGTTCTCGATGACTTGTTCTTCCTGGAGGCCTCCGCTTTCTTAAAGGGGCCCTTACCTTCTTTTTGTTTATCTCATTGTATGCAGTCATATAATGTAGTGATCTGTGGTGCTGTGTACTATGTGGTCATGTTCTGACAGTTCTCGCGATTCCCTAC